CATCAGAGTGCCCCTTAACATAACATGTGCCCATCAGAGTGCCCCTTAAAATAAATGTGCGCATCAAAGTGCCCCTTAATATAAATGTGCCCATCAGAGTGCCCCTTAAAATAAATGTGCCAATCAGAGTGCCCCTTAATATAAATGTGCCCATCAGAATGCCCCTTAACATAAAATGTGCCCATCAGCATGCCCCTTATTTTATGTTAAGGGACACTTTGACAGGCACATTTTATGTTAAGGGGCACTCTGATGGGCACATTTTATGTTAAGAGGCACTCTGATGAGTACATTTTATGTTAAGGGGCACTCTGATGGAACATTTTATGTTAAGAGGCACTCTGATGAGCACATTTTATGTTAAGGGGCACTCTGATGGCACATTTTATGTTAAGAGGCACTCTGATGAGCACATTTTATGTTAAGGGGCACTCTGATGGCACATTTTATGATAAGAGGCACTCTGATGGGCCATTTTATGTTAAGTGGGGCAAAAATTGGCACATACTGTGGAAGGGGCAACTCTGATGGGCGCATGTGATGGAAAGAGACACTCTGATGGGGAATATGATTATATTTTAATTTACTAGGATACTGGAAGGAAGAGGAAGGAAGGAGGGAGAGTGGAGTATAGAAAAAAAAGAAGAGAAGAAGAAAACAGGAACCAGAAAGGAGATCATAAGAAAGAAAAGAGAACACTTTTTAGAAATTGTGAATATTTTCAACAAATTTCTTAATCCTTTGGTGGTTTTGTCATTGCTCCAAACTGTCCCTCATTTCATACAAAATATCTTTCCCTCTTACCGCTTAATTTCTCCCTTCTTTTAGCCTCATTTAAACAAACCATTCTTTAACTACCAAAATTATTATACTATGCTAAACCTTTTATCCATCCTCTGAATTCCTATGCTTGTTGTTTTAACCAGCTGATGCGAAGGATAATTAGCGGTAAAAAAGACCTGTGGGCTTACCCAAAAGTTTTCTGCATAAGCATTTTGGATGTGCAAAACTAAGGGCATGCCGAGTGTGAATCCTAAATAGGATAGTTATGACTTAGCTTTATGTGTTCCAATTATTTACTTCTGTCTCTTCCGCTGGATTGAGCAACCTAGCTTTTTAAGGTACCTAACTACTGACAACATAATTTCACAAATATTCAGGTCATGTAAGTGCATTATTATAGTAAAAACATGAGTTACCTTTTGCCAGAGGTGTAACTAGAACCTTCAGGGCCCAGTGCAAGAAAACATGAAAGGCCCCCCTGAGTGGGGTCACTGCCAGTGGTCCCTTGTCCCTTCCCACTGATCCCAGGCCCTTTACTCTCATCACAGGGCCCTTTATTACTGTCCCAGAAGGGGACCCTTTCACATGTTCTGCAGCGGGCCCCCTTCTTGCCGTCTTGTCCCCGCCACACGATGGCAGAACGCCAGGACATGGTTGTAAGTGCGACCTTTGCAACCCTGGTAGTTGATGGAAACTCTTCACGAGGCAGAAGAAAAACCTACACTGACAGCTGTATTTGGTAATAAATTGAAAAATTGTAACATGTAAAAAATGTTATCCACACCACTTTCCTTTATTGCTACACAGTGACACTACTGGTGTATCATATTTACCTGCTCTGTGCAATGGTTTTGTAGAGAGCAGCCCCAATCCTCCTCTTCTTGGGTCCCCCCGCTGGTGCTCCTTGCTCCTCCCTCCTGCTGAGTGCCCCCAGAGCAAGCTGCTTGCTCTGGGGGCACTTATGCTTGCTTGCTCCTGAGCTGCCTCTGTGTGTTTTTAAGCCCTGGTTCACACCGGTGTGACTTGTCATGCGATTTGCCAGTTCCAATTGCATGACACGTTGCACCCTTTTGTCAGCAATGAAACCATTCAAACTGGTGCTACTCCAACTTTGTGGTGCCGCACTGATTTGAAAAAACTGTTTTTGCACTATTTTTTGTGATTTCAGGGGTGACTTGCATAGACATCTGTGTATAAAGTCACACAGATGTCAGCCAAATCGCACTGCGATTGGCTGTTGCAGCTGTGACAAGATCAGAAATGATTGCTACTTGTGATCAGGACCTTTCCGAGAGGTGCTGGTAAATGTTCCAGACGTGTGTAGGGCACGTGCTCTCGACACTTGTGTTTTACTTTGGGTATGCAAATATGCGGTGTGGGAACTCGCTTCAAATGGTAGAGCTTGGTTAAACACACACAGCAACTCGCTTTATTTTTTAAGGCTTTTAGCCCACTTTTATTTAAAGAAAATGTCCCGTCACATAAAGCTTCCCACGCAGGGGTATCCACCATCAATATAAACAAAATTCAGCCTCCTGGCTCTCTCATATATACACAAACTTCCACTGGCCTTCCTCTTCAGGCTTACGTCTGTCTCCTGCACACTCTTTCAAAAATATGGCTCTCACACACAGCTGGCCACTAGCACACAGCTAGTCTCTAGCAGCCCCTGGCTGCTTTTGGCTTCCACCTCTCCTAGGTGAAGTCCTCCTGACTCCTATCTGCCGGGGTGGAGCCCAGAATCCTGATCCTGACTCTATGAAAAGGCCTGCACACACCTGTGCAATCAGTCTCCTGGCCTTCCCAAAACCTGGTCCCAGGATTGGAAATTTCATCCCTCCCAGATCTCTTTGAAATCTCCAGGCTCCAGATCCCAAAACAGACCTTCCAAACAAAGGAGGAAAGTGAAAAGCCACTTTCCTCCATATCAAACACTTACCCTGGAGCCCCTCAACCTGCCTTGTTGAGGATCCTGGGTGACAGATCGCCACACTGTCACAGCGGCCTCTCGGAGTCAAGGCCCAGCCACCAAGAGGCCACATATTTGCGTACCATCGGCACCAACAGATTAAAAAAATTACTTGTACCATGTGATCTAGTGCTGCATTTGGGGTGTAGTTAACTGAACATTGAAACTTGCTGCCAGGCCCGGACTGGCCATAGGGCACACCGGGCATTTGCCTGTGGTGCCAGGGCCACGTGGATAAGAAGGGCGGCCAGGCAGCACATAGAAGAACCGATGTGTGCATTTATCGGTTCCTCTATGTGCCGCCCGGCCGCCCTTCCTAACCATCTACTGCATACCCTTGGCTCCTGTATACTCCCCTGATGGCTGCCCCCCTCATCTCCTACAGTGCTGCGGTTCCCTGTTAGCATGTTCCGTCCCCAGGGCTGACAGTCCCCACCCACCACAGATGGGAGAGGAGAGAGAAAGCTGGTTCTGCCCCTCCTCCTCTCACCCTCCCGCCCTCTCCTCCTGTGTCTGCCCCACCCACACTCCTCTCCAGCCCTGTGTCTTCTCTCCTCCCTTTCTTTTTCTTACTCTCTTTCTTTCACTCCTGCCTTCCTTCTTTCCCTCCTTCTTTCTTTCTTTCCCACTTTCCTTCTTTCCCACTCTTCTTCTTCCCCACTTTCCTTCTTTACCTCCTTTCTTCTTTCTCACTTTCCTTCTTTCCCTCCTTCCTTCTTGCCCTCCTTCCTTTTTTGCCTCTTTCCCTCCTTCCTCCTTTCCCGCCTTTCTTCTTTCCCTCTTTCTTTCCTTTCTTTCTTTCCCTCATCCTTTCTTTCCCTCCTTCCTTCTTTCCCTCCTTCCTTCTTTCCCTCCTTTCTTTCTTTCCCACTTTCCTTCTCTCTTTTTTTCCCACTTTCCTTCTTCCCCACTTTCTTTCTTCCCTCCTTTCTCACTTTCCTTCTTTCCCTCCTTTCTTCTTTCCCACTTTCCTTTTTTTCCACTTTCCTTCTTCCCCACTTTCCTTCTTTCCCTCCTTTCTTCTTTCCCACTTTCCTTTTTTCCCACTTTCCTTCTTTCCCTCCTTTCTTCTTTCTCACTTTCCTTCTTTCCCTCCTTTCTTCTTTCTCACTTTCCTTCTTTCCCTCCTTTCTTCTTTCTCACTTTCCTTCTTTCCCTCCTTTCTTCTTCCCCACTTTCCTTCTTTCCCTCCTTTCTTCTTTCTCACTTTCCTTCTTTCCCTCCTTTCTTCTTTCTCACTTTCCTTCTTTCCCTCCTTCCTTTTTTGCCTCTTTCCCTCCTTCCTTCTTTCTCTCTTCTCTCTTTCCTTCTCTCTCTCCTGTTTCCCTCCTTCTTTCCCTCCTTCCTTAATTCCCTTTTTTTCCTTCATTCTTTCCCTCTTTCTCTCCTTCCTTCTTTCCCTCCTTCCTTCTTTCATTCCCTTTCCCCCCTCCTTCCTTCTTTCTTTCCTTCCTTTTTTCCCTCCTTCTTTCTCTCCTTCCCTTTTTTCCCCTCCTTCCTTCTTTCCTTCCTTCCTTTTTTCCCTCCTTCCTTCTTTCCTTTCTCTCTTTCTTACCTATAAAAAATAATAAAATATAAAATTGCAAAAAATTAAATAAAACTAAAAACCTACCGACACTAGTGGCAGAACTACCAGAGGTGCAAAGGTTGCTCTTGGGACCAGGCCCTGGTGTTCCGCTACTGGGCTCTGAGGAAAGATTTCCAGGGCTTGGGGCTGCTCACTCCACAATGCACGGGCCTATTTTTTGTCCCTGTCTGGGCCTGCCTGCTGCAGAACAGAACCATAATGTGTTTGCAACACATTGTGGGAAACACACACATGGAATGGGCGTTTCCTATGGTGTGAAGGGCTTAATCAGGCCTTAGCTGTGCATTGTTACCTCAGTCAGTGAGGTCAGGCAGGGCTCCCCAGCATGTATAGTGTTTACTACACCGTAGGTAAGATTAGAGTGTGTACACCACGTGACTCCGTTGTATAACACAACAATTAGTTACACAAGATGCTGAAACTTCTCAGTGAGGCCAGACGTCTGTGCACAGCGCCCCCTACAGTCCACGGGAGGAGTGCAGTCCTGACGGGGAGAAGTGTCCGGAGTCCTTCCACAGGGGCGCTGCCAGTTTGGGAGGAGGAGGAAGGGGGTTCCCGTCACCATGGGGATGGAATAGGCGGGAGGAGGGAGCCCTATAGACAGTCCGCGCCCATCATTCAGCCTTGTGTAACCACATTGTTTACACTTTGAGGGAGCCACTCTGCTCCATGGAGCCCGGACTCCTCATCACTGGAGCCTCGCTCGTCTTGTTCCGCTTGTTGAATGGGCGGCTGAGCACTCTGATTCCCGCTCCCAGCTCCGCTCTCCGGAACCCCTGGAAATGGAGGAACATCTGGACGTCGTTCACACACAGCCTGCTCACCGGGACATGGGCTCTGCTGGGGTGAGAAGAGGGGGGACTGCCATTGGGGGGCGCCATAATGAGGTGCCAACAGGTGTCCTCTGAGCTGGGCACACAACTTCGGGGTCACCCCTGTCCCCAGCCCAGGGTCTGCACTCATGACCAGCCTAGGTTCACGTGTGTGTGGGTTGGGAACACTCGCAAAATCACGCAGACCAAACGCGCCCCCTCCAACTTCATGATGGCAATTGATGCGTTTTCTGGTGCATTTTGAGGTGCAGTTTAAGCCCTGGTTAACATTCGATGCAACTTGGTATGCGATTTGCATGCCCTGTGACTTGCAGAATGTATGCCAAGTCACACCCTATTGTCTGCAATTGGAGCGGTCATATCGGTGCGGTTCTGACTTGGTCGGAGCTGCACCGATTACTATAGCAGTACATGCACTACTTTTGGTGCGATTTGCATATACATCTGTGTCAGATGTCTTGCAAATCGCACCTCAAATCGGCAAGTCACCTGCCTCAAAATGGAAAAGAAGAACTGTAAGTCGCACAATTTCAAAATTGGCTTTGATGTGACCAGGGCGTTAATGCGGTTTTTTTTCAGGAATTGTGCGTTTTTGTGATGTGTTAATGTTGCTTCACTGTAGGTCGCACTATTTCAAAATTGGCTTTGATGTGACTAGGGTGTTAATGCATTTTTTTCAGGAATTTTTGCATTTTTGGGATATGTTGCTAGGGGGAAGTGCCTGTTGTCATGCAGGAAACGCACCAAAAACGCATGTACATACTTTTCCATATCTTGTTTTGTATTTGATGAATATCTAAGGCTCCTCTCAGACAGGGCGGACCCATCGGCTTATCCACCTGCTTAGTCGGGGATCTCTCTGCTGATCCCCGCTGAGCAGGCGGATGACAGGTGTGTGTCCGCTCCGCTATGCAGAGCGGACACAGCCTAAACACTGTTTATTATGGGGCAGTCAGATGGAATCGGAACGCCTGTCTGTTTCCACCCGATTGTCATCCAATCCACCAGACGGATGGAGAACGGATCCCCATCTGTCCGGATCGGATGCTGGGTGGGTGTCAGCGAACACATTTCTGCTGACACCCGCCACTAGAGAGCTATGAATGGTCCAGTCAGGTCCGCATGAAAAACTGAAGGCGAGCCCAATCAGACCGGCAGTGTGAAAGGGCCTTACAGAAAAATAATCCATTTGATGTATGTTTATGGTATCGTATGCCTATCAGCTTTTAGCCTTGGTTCACACTTAGGGCTCATGTACACAGGGCATTTGGAAAACTCATCTGACTCCTGGAAAACGTAGGTTAAAAAAAGTCAGTTTAGCCACGTTTATGTGCGTTTACGTTTAGAAGCGTTTTTAAAAGATAACCTCAGAAGACCTTCCAAAATGCCCAGAATGCACTGAAAAATATTAACAAATTAACTATTTCAGACATTTTGTGAGAAATAGAGAGAGCAGAAGCAGAGAGAGCAGTATGTGTTGAGATGACCTGTCTTTTCTGGTTGTATTCACTATGGATCCCATCATGAGCATAATGCAGCACATTCTACCATTTTTCCTTAATGTGAAACCTGCAACTGACTGCGCTGGTGTACTGACTCCATTTAAATACATGGAAAACACTTTGCATGCATTTCTGATGATGAAAAAAGGCTCTGGACATGGAACAGTTAAAAAATGCTTCTAAATGCAAACGTTTATAAACGTGGTTAACAGCATTTACAAGTATTTGGCGTTTGAAACGCTAGTAAAATCTACTTCTGAACGCAAGTTTGGTGCATTCAAATAAACGACTGTAACGCAACTGCCTGTAAACGACTGTGTACATGGACACATAGGAAAACATTAGGGAGAGTTCAGGGGCTGCTGTAAAAAACGCTGAACAGCTTCTGAATGTCAGTTTAGGAGCTGCATTGTACATGACCCCTTAATGCGACCTTGAAGGAGCTGCCTGATTAGATAGAAACTAGGTATGTCCTCAGAATTAAATTGTTTTGGTAGACGTTGATTGTACTGAAATTCTACAGTCAGATTATAACTTGTATGATGATCGTAAGACTGCCTTTAGCCCTGGTCTGCCCTGAATGCGACTTTTAAATTATGCTACTTCACTTGAAGTAGTACAATTTCAAAGCCACGGGTCAGTGTGATTTCAGGTGTGACTTGCCTGACATCTTTGCGACTTCATGCACAGATGTTTATGCAAGTTGCACTGGAAATCACCAAAAATAGTGCAGGAACTATTTTCAAAATCAGTAGGACTAATGGTTTTGGACGGTTCATTGCTGACAATAGGGTGTGACTTGTCATATTTGTCAGTTCCAAATCATATGACAAGTCCCACCAATGTGAACCGGGACTTAGGGTCCATTCCCACGAGCCACCGCTTTATAAGGAAGCGGCTGCTGTGCGGTCCGGCGGGAATTGCCTCTCTGTACCGCACTTTTTTTTTAAAACTAACTTTATTGAAATAAAACATAGATTTCTCATTAAGTTCAAATGGATGCCGTGCAGCGCTTTGCGCTCAACTGAAAAAAGTACTGCACGCACAACTCTTTTTCAGCACACTGCGCCCGCACACCACCGCAATGTAGTGGTGTGAATCAGGCATACAAGAGAGGAGGCATTTTACCTTGTCGTGGTGGGAGTGTGCTGGAATTACAGCTCAGTGCAGTCCTACCGCATCTGGTGTCAATGGACCCTAACACCCCGGTCACATCAAACCCTACTTTGAAATCTTGTGACTTGCAGTGAAATCGCACAATTTCAAAGTCGGATGACATGCCAATTGCAGATGCGATTTGCAAGACATCTGATACAGATTTCTATGCAAATGGCACCAAAAGTAGTGCATGTGCTACTTTAGAAATCAGTGTAGCTCCGACCAAGTCGGAACCGTACCGTTATGACCGCTCTAATCATGGACAAAATGCTATTTGGCATGTGACTTGTAAGTCGCATGGCATGTAAATCGCATGCCAATTTGCATCAAGTTTGACCGGGGTCTTAGGCCCCTTTCAGACAGGGCAGACTCCATCAAGCGGATCCATCTTCTTACTGAGGAATCTCTTTGCTGACCCCCACTGAGCAGGCGGATGACAGGTCTGTGGCCGCTCCGCTATGCAGAGCAGACACAGCACACTGCTCTCTTTGAGGCGCTCGGATGGAAATGGACCACCTGCCTGTTTACATTTGACTGTCATCTGATCTGCTGGCTGGATCCGTTCCCCATCTGTATGTTTTTAGTGTACAGGATCGGATGCCAGCGGGTGTCACTGGACACATGACAGATCTTCAGTGTGAAAGGGGCCTTATGCATATCAAAGATATTGTAATTATATTTTGTAAACATGGATGTTTATATTTTATAATGTTATATAACATATGATATTTCTAAACAGTTTGTAAACATGCATTTTTGATGTGTTTCTATTGAAGTCTATAGAATCAAAAATGCATCTGCTGCAGGCAAAATAGTCCTTGACCCTTTCCAGTGGATAAGGGTTCACAGATGTGAAAATGACCCTTAGTAAATCATGCTAAATGGACTGCACTACATTTCTGCAAACTTGAAAACGCATAAATGTGAACCTAGCCTAAAAAAAGAGGCAGAAGCTCCCCCCCCCCCCCCCACCCGTCTTTCTTGCAGGTACAACAGATCATTCAAATGAATAGGCAGCTGTACCCATGATGTGTGTGCACAAACACGCCGTACATACCTACATAACCTAGGCGCACTGCGTAGATCATCATTATTCATCATCCTCCCTATCAGTGACGGTATTGTGTGTAATCATGAACCTTTCCTTTGTCTAGATTTTACCTGCACCCCGAGATGGCGGAGGACCTGATTTCCACACATTCCCGCTTTTCACATTGTCTGGTCGCTGTATCTATAGGTGAGACGCACTTATCATCATCTTCTGTTTTTAAAGCTGAACTCCGAGCTTGGAAACTTTCATTCAGATACATTGATCAGCCATAACTTTATGACCACTGACAGGTAAAGTGAATAAAGTTGATTCTCAGTACAATGGCATCTGAAAGTGAAAGTGCAGCAATTAAACATGTTGTCCCTGACGTTGATGTATTGAAAGCAGAAAAAATGGTCAAGCATATGGGTTTGATTGACTTTGACAAGGGTCACAATGTAATAGCTAGACCTGTGCTGACACGTATCCACAGCCAAAAGCGCTTAGAATGGGCAGGTGAGCATCACAACTGGACCACCAAGCAATGTTAGAAAGTGGCCTGGTCTGATGAATCACATGGATGGCCAGGTATGTGTGTGTCACTTCCTTGAAGAGATGGCGCCAGGTCGCAGTATGGGAAGAAGTCAAGTTGGCAGAGGCAATGGGGTTTATTTACTAAAGCTGGAGAGTGAAAAATCAGGTGCACTTCTGCATAGAAACCAATCAGCTTCCAGGTTTTATTGCCAAAGCTTATCCTCCCTGGCGGTATTCCCGAGTGTAGCTCAGGGTTAACTTTCTGTACCAAAAGTGGTAACCCCGAACTACACTTGGAATTACCCTGCAGCGTTGCTCTGGGATTCCCTGTTTCATTTACCTTGTCCTTCGCTCCTGCGATGTCCCCCCTGCAGCGTCCCCGGCCATCTCCTTCGGCCAATGCTGGCATCCATCTTCCAGGTTCCGGTCCCTGCAAGTGTCGGGACGTACGGGGGCCGGAACCGGCGGGAAATTTAAACATTTTAAAAAGTGACATTCACTAAATACACTAAAATCACATCGTAAAACATTACTGTGTCAAACCATTTCACATACATTTTGTCCCTAGTGATTTGTCCTGTGCCCTGCCTGCATTTTTACTGTTCTTTCTGCCTGGAAACTGAGAAATGTCCATGGTGTCCAAAAAGCGTCCCTTTAGGTCAAAAGCGGTTTTAGACCAGCTAGAGAACAGTGATAGTAAATCAGAACCACTTGCAGAATTGAGTGATAATGATTTGTGGGGAAATTCGTCATCAGACACTGAAAACGATTTTGCGACTTTGCTCAGTGATGTGCGAACTTGGCGCTATATTTCAAATTTCAGTGTTTTTGGTTTGATTATATTATTGAATTAAATTTATTATTATATTATTTTTTATGATTATTTATTAAATTATAATTTATGATTTCGTGTTTCAAGTTTTATCATACCCGGGATGTTTACTAGACTCTTGTTCGGACAGATTTCAGTGAGTTATTCCTAAAAATTACAGGCCTACAATAAAAAAAAGGACATATTTCCATGCAAAAAAATTTACCGCTTTGAGCACAGAAATATTGACATAATCATACCGATAGGGAGGTTAATTGAACAAACTGAGGCTAGAAGCAGCACAGCAGCAACAGATTCTGAGTGATCCAATTTTAGTAAATCACCACCAATGTGTTGCTTTGGGCAATTTTCAGAAAAAATAGGCATTGTTGTTTGCTCTGTAGACACAGACCTGTCAGGGTGCCCATGGTGACCCATGTCCATAGACCAAAGCGCACACAGTTGGCACACGAGCATCAGAACTGGAATGGAAGAAGGTGGCTTGGTCTAATAAATTCATGAATGTTTTGAGGAACACAACAACGAGTTTTGAGGTGTTGACTTGGCCTCCAAATTCTCCAGATCTCAGTCCAATCAAGCAACTGTAAAATGTGCTGGAAAAACAAATCTGATCCAAGGCAGCTCCACCTCACAACTGACAGGACTTAAAGTATCTACCACTGACAGCTTGGTGCTAGATACCACAGCATACCTTCAGAGGTCTAGTGGAGTCCGTTCCTCAACAGGTCAAGGCAGTTTTGGTGGCACAAGGGGGACCTATTCAGTATTAGGTTAGTGGTCATAAAGTTATGGCCGATAAGCGTAAATCTACTTTGTATGCATCAAATGCCTTAGCAAATCCAGATATTACCTAGTAAAAGTAGTAGTGACATCATTACTGTGCTGTACATAGCCTGTGCAAAGAGCAGACCTGTGGGAGGGAATCAGCATGCTCCACCCACTACAGGCTGCCTGCAGATAAATACAGTAGCGGGTGGAGACCAGACCTGCCACCCTAAACAAGGAGAGGGAGCAGCAGCTCCTGCACAGGGACAACATTTCAGAATGGATTACTGCACTGATCTGAAAGAAACACACAAAGTACACCGAGATCCAAAGAAGATTATACATGTCTTGTATTTAGACAATATTTGTTTATCCTGGATTTTAGGTGTAAAGGGTTATGCAGGCCATAGACGGGTCGAAAACCGGCCGTTTAAAAAAAAAAAAAAACGAAAAATCGGTCGTTCAATAGGCCGACCTTACCACCAACGGTAAAAAAAATTGGCCGATTTTCATCCCGTCTACGGCGGGCATTTAATTACTTCTGTCCCTGCAGAGAGCTCCGCTATTGTATTTGACATGAAAAAGTATTGCGGTTGCAACAATGTATCTATTTGTATCCATTTCGGATACAGATGGTTTCATTAGGATACAAATAGATACATTGTTGCAACCACAATACTTTTTCATGTCAAATATAATAGCAGACTGGAATTCTTCTTTTTATTTTTCTTCTTTTTATTTTTCTTCTTTTTATTTTCCTTTTTATTTTCCTTCTTTTTATTTTCCTTCTTTTTATTTTTCCTTCTTTTTATTTTTCTTCTTTTTATTTTTCTTCTTTTTTATTCATTTTTTTTCTTCTTTTTCTTCTTCTTTTTCTTCTTTTCTTCTTCTTGCAGGCCACGGCTCATGCGCAGTTTTTTTATCGGTAAAAAGATCGGCCGATTTGTCCATCATTGCCGGGCAAATCGGCCGATCGGCAAACTCGGCTGATTTTTTTCCAACTTCATCAATAAAAAAATGTGCCAAGACCCTGAAAAAGGGCTGACCAATTAACCCATTAAGTGTGCGAAAATCGGTCTATGGCCTGCATTAGTCTACATTTATATTAGAATTTACAGGGAAGACAAGGGGCACCAGTAGTTTATAAATCATGGTGTATGATAGACAAATTAGGCTTCTTTTGAAGCTCAACTCTGGGGAAACTAAATTTCCTCCACCACCGCACTACAAGGGTAAAATAAGTGTAAAATGCTTGTTTTTGCCTCGGGGTAGAGGAATATGGTGTAAGACTACCCATACACTATACAATGTGATTGTACAATCTCCTTTAGAAATACAACCATTCTGCAGTGCAAGGAGCTGCCTGAATGGATAGAAATTAGGTATATCCTCAGATTACATTTTTTTTGGTATTTCTAAAGTTGATTGTGCAGAAATTGTACAGTCAGATTGTAACTTGTATGGTCGTCATAAGACTGACTTTAGCCCTGGTTTACACTGAATGCGACATTTGTATTTCAATGGTTTTTATTAATTTTAAACGTTTTAAACAAAGAAGGACTGAAGCAAAAGGCTCGCCACACGCAGGGGCTATCAATGGCACATAAGGATTAAAAGGAACAATGTTACAACACCAGCAATGGAGGAGGCACGACCACGCAGGGGCTATCAATGGCACAGAAAATGCATAGAAATAAAATACAGTGTTATAACTCCAACAGTGAAGCAAACCAGAGACAGGTCTCTACCGCCTCGCAAAAATCATACAAAAAACAAAAAAGCAAGAAGAGGAAGAAAAGGAGAGGAAGACAAGACCAACAGCAGGGATCTGGGAGCGCCAACACTGATCAACAACCTAAACCCAGACTAGCCAGGGGAAGCGTGGGAAAAGCATATGGCAACCACGACTCCCAGATTTCCAAAAATTTGTGTTGGGAGTCATTACGGATACTCAACATCTGTTCATTAAGCATCAAAGTGGACATACGGTCTCGCACCCCCTGAAGAGGGACAGGTGTACTTTTCCATGAATGCGACTTTTAAATTGTGCTACTTCACTTTGGAAAGCCTCAGGTCAGTGCAATTTCAGGTGCGACTTACCTGACATCTGTAAAACTTCATGCACAGATGTATGAGCAAGTTGCACCTGAATTCGCCAAATGTAGTGCAGGAACTATTTTCAAATTTGGCGCAACTCTGACCAAGTCGGAGTCTCACTAATTTGAACGGTTCCATTGCTGATAACTGGATGCGACTTGTCAAGCCATTTGAAACTGTCAAATTGCATGACAATTTGCACCGATGTGAACCAGGGCTTACAGTCTGATTTCTACAGACTCCTTTAGATCCATTACAAGGGTCTGTTGGATTTGACACTGATTGAATGGATTTTTAGGGCTGTCCATATATTATATAGTTTTGCTAAAGCTGGCCATACACTAGTAGATTGAACTGGACATTCGTACGAAAATTCTCATAAGTACATTCAATGACATGATGAATGTAATTTGAAAGTACTTTAAAATTTCATTTGCTTTTAACATTTAATTTTGGGGTGAGTGGACTTTCCTAAGCGAAAACAACATTCATGGTTAGAAATTTGTTCAAGAAAGATTTTCCATCCTGTTCCTTCGAATTTTCTCATCACTGTGGTTGAAAATGAATGTCGATTTTACCCAACTAATGATTAAAAATAGAACGTTCTTAAAATAAACCATTTCTAACAAAATTCTGCTAGTGTATGGCCAGCGTAAAGGAGAATGTACAGATTTCGTACAGTGTATGGTCAGCTTTAGAAAAGAGAATTCGTGGGACCAGTCATACATCTGGCGGGTCTCTGCTGGAGCGAGAAATAAATAAGGTAAGTATTAGAGTGACAATACGGTACACAATCTGATTGTACGATCTCCTTTGCTTCTGCCATCTACTTCAGTATATAAAACAAGGTCCTTCCTGGTTTCATACAAAATGAAATAACTGTTTACGTTTGTTGTCATAAAACATTGTTTTGGTAAGTCTGAAGGATATTGTACAATCAGATTGTATAGTGTGTGACTGGTTTTAGCTCTACCAATAA